GGAGGAGGAGGAGGAGGAGGAGGAGGAGGAGTCCAAACCCCTGCTCAGGCAGGAAAACTGAGGATGCCAAACTCTGGGTAGAGGAAAGGTGTCAGTATAACAAAATAACACTTAGAAGGGACTTTAAGGGGAACCCTATACCATTTCAGAGAAATGGCTGTCCAGGCTTTTAAAAATTTCCAATGATTGAGCACCCAGAACTTCTGAGACAAGCAGGTCCACTGGTTAATTGTTTTTACTGTCAGGAAGTTTCTACTTAGTTCTAGGTTGCTTCTCTCTTTGTTCAGTTTCCATCCATTGCTTCTTGTTTGCCTTCTGGTACTTTGGAAAATACATTGTCCCCCTTTCTTTCTGGCAGCCCCGTAAAAGCCTGTTGCCTATCACACTCTTGGGCAAAGCATGTGAGCCATTTCCTCCTTTCAGTGGTCCATGAAAATACATCTATAGTATGTAGATAATAAAGTCAAAAATACATTTTTACAGAACTGTAAATAAGTTGAGGCTGGATGTGACAAGGAATGACTGGCAAGGGGGGGGCAGATGAGGCAGACCTTGATATGAGTGACATTAAGTTGGCCACACCCACTCAGTCACACGACCACCAAGCCATGCCCACCCAGTCACATGACCACCAACCCATGTCTACCCAGTCACATGGCCACCAAGCCACACCCACCCAATCACGACCACCAAGCCATGCCCAGTCACATGACCACCAGGCCACACCCACCAAATAAGCCACGCCCACAGAACTGGTAGTAATTTTTTTTAAATTCCACCACTGTATGTAAGCAAAATATATTTCCAGAAACTAGCTGTAATTTTTCAAAGGGATTGTCTCTGTTCTCTTAGAGTTTCTTAAGTGTTCTTTGAGGATCCAAATACTGTTGAGCAGAATTTCAGGGGAACAACTATATAGCTCTCTTCTTGAAAACAGATTCTTAGCCCATACAGTTAACAGCTACAAGTTCTATTTTCTATTCTTTCCTGCCTCCTCAACAAAGTCATAACCAGACAAAAGATAATCTTAGGAACGAACAAGCATAGAACTTGAATTCTATTATGTTATGATTGCAAGATTTTATGCACAGAATAAACAATATTTTCAACAAATTTCCCTGTTTCCAAGAATTTTTAGGATTTATTTTCAAGTATAAGTTTATTATCCATGATATTTCAAGTGTTCTTTCTGAAAACTCTTGAACTCTGAAGAATTTATTTCATCATTTCATCCATTCGTTATCATTATTAAATATTTGGCTCATTGCTTAGCAATGAAACTACCTAGCCAATATTTATAAAAAAGAAGGTATCATTTTGAATCATTTGGTTACCTTGATTTAATTAAGTTAAATTTTCAGATTTCATTATCTAACACATTCTTACACTTTGCCTTAGATCAGTTAAAATCAGAAAAATACTGACTTTGAAAGAACTGTAAGACATATCATTTATTTACCTGAACAATTTATATAGCCACGCATCTAACAGCAGTAAGTCAGTACACAAATGATTTAGCTAAATTTGAAGAGTGCAAAAATGATTTAACTAAACCCAAGCCAGAATATACCAGATGGAACCTTAAAATAGTAATTATAATAATAATACTTAATCTGTTTTTGATCTATGCAACAAAACAGATGCACCAATTGCACTACTGTAATCTTTTGGATCAAGAATGATACTTGGTCTAAGTTTTTAACATCTTGCAGAAGATCAACAAGGTTTGGGCAATCTAGATCTCTGAGTATATTCTATTGCATAGGGCAGATGCTGTGACAGAGAAAGCATGATTGCTATTTCCCACAAAATAACACTTCCTAATGAAAATGACCTATCGCAGTACAATTTTTTAATATTGTAAATCATTAAAACAATGAAAAACAGTCAGGCTCTGAAAAAAATTCCCACACATCCATCAACACCCATGCCATTTCTCTCATCATCTGGCCTCCAGTGTCTGGGATAAGAGTCAGATTTTTACTACTTTCCTGAAGTCCAACAGAATCAGCTTTCCCTCCGTAGCATCTCTGAGGGGAGACTGTTCCATAAAACAAGTGAGACCCCATCACACGACATTCCTTCATTGAGGAGACCCAGAGCATACCTATCCTGCCAGATGCAGTTGGGATGAAACCATTGGGAATATATGGGCCTGCAAATAACATGCCCATGTGCCACATATGCCTTTAAAGGTGGTAACCAACACTTTGAATTATACCCGGTCTACTGAGAGCCAGTGCAGCTGTGTTAAATGGGTTTACTGAGGTGTGCCTGCTACTGCCAGTGCTGCTGCATTCTGGATCAGGGGCAGTTTCCAAATTCTCTTCTAATCATTTCTATATGGAGTGCATTGCAATAATCAAATTGGGAGGTGACTAAGGTACCAGTGTGAAGTGCAAATATATTGAACAAAAGCCCTCTTGGCCATGGTTACACCAACTTTCAAGCAGTACGCAAAGTCCAGGAGAACCTCCATATTAAACATAAGCTCTGACTGAAGGTCACCCCAGCCTGAGTTAAATATGGTAAACTACTAGATGCAGGGGATCCTATAATCCACAGACATTCAGTCTTGTCTGTGTTGATCTGAAACCGATTCTTCCCCATCCAGACCTGTACAGCCTTCAGGAAAGCACTTCAGGAAAGCACCCTGAGGGCAATTTCGACATATACTAACAATGTAATGCTGAGTTATAACTTAGTAATATAATTGTTATTTTCATTGTTAGTATATCTGATGCTGGACTTTTAAACTGGAATATGGCAGACATATATTAATGCATAATCTCAGTACACCTTTCTTTCAACCACTACATTTCCATTTATCACTTGTGTAGATTTTTCCCAGGTTCTGTGCAATGGATACAAAGGACAAAAATAATATCTCAAAGAAAGAGGCTTGAAGTGAAAGCTAGAGGTGATACAAATGTCAAGCCTCCCTGAATTGAGGTTACCTTGGTTGACACGGTGAAAATATCATCCTGAGTACAGTAATAATATCTGTACCATTTCATGAGCTAAGTGAACAGCAATGAACACACAGTGACCAAAAGCAAAGGTTTCAATGTTCCCATAATAGTCAGGGTTTCTCTATCAACTCTCATTTTGAATGTAATCTTTTTAAAAAACAGATTTTATTTTAAGAAAGATAAACATGTGTCTCTTAAAGACAAGGTAGTACAAACCAATTCCATCTCATTAGTTAGGATAGGTTAGGACAGGAGGCGCTGCCTTTTTTCATATTTGTTCTCATAGCATTATTCTTGCTTCCTACTTTTGTCTGCATTAAAAATGCAGTGTACTTAAAGATATTGTTTCCAGGAGTTTACTGAAATGTTTAACAAATTTATGCTTGCATTTGTGGTAATGTCCCAATGCACTGTCCCATAGTGACATACTGAAAAGAATTGAATTACAAATACAGGAAAATAGGATTAAAAATGAAAACTAGTGTTCATGTCTCACATATTACCCGCCCTTGTTTATTTGATGAAATATACAAAGATTTCTTCTTAAATGATTTGCTTAATCTTAACTTAAACTTAACTTTGCTTAAACTTATTCACAGCACAAATGGAATAACAGATCTTTTGTAAAAGAGATTACTAAATTACTAAACATAAATTCATTATTCACTAGGATAGCAAAGATGTGCATTGTGACTTTTGTTCATCATTGTATTGACTTATGTCAGAAGATTCTAACATCTAAAAACCCAGTTCCTCCATCCCTAAAGGTTATAGAATTAATAAATGATACCAAAATTTATTCAGATGACATTTAACTGAAACAAAGCCTGAAGTTATTATTTGACGGAATATTTCAGGTCACCTAAACCTATCTGGTGTAGGAAAGTAAGAAAGAACTGTCATTTGTAATTTCAACTTTGTGAAATAATGTTACAAAGTTATAATACATCTCAGTAAAACAAGAAATGAAAGAAGTCAAAAGCCACAGCCCAATGTTAAGAAACTGATACCAAGAATGAAATGCCCATATCCAATATCTTTTTATGTCAGGATGTTATTCAAATTCATATAATAGTTGAAATTTCCAAAATCACAATTCACAATTTTGCTTTCTAAGGCAGTTCTGTACTATGGTCAAACACTTCCTGCAGTCACATCTAGGAACACCTAGTATTTATTGCAGAGTTTGGTAGTTAAATTGGTTATAACTTGTTAAATTGATGCAACCTTTTGGACATTCACTTCAAGACAACCCTTTGGAACCCTTAACATTTTTTAGAAAGAGTGAAAAAGAGGTAAGTCACTCGTGTACTCACGGTCATTGCACAGTGTCCCACTGAAAGAAGTCATGCTACAGTCACAGCTAAACCCATCCCATTGCTGCAAGCAGACACCTTGGTTGGCACAGGAGTCTTCTTGGCATGTGGTGCTGGGACCTAACAAGAAAACACACCATAGAAAAGAACATAAAGGTCTGTCATTCAGAGTGACCATATGTGTCATTGGATCATACAGGGTAGTTGCCAACATCTCATATTTATAGAGTAAATTATGGAAAGAAACTGATAAGGGGATTGGTAGTAACCCATATTATTAATAATATTCAAGTTATGTAGCGGCATGTGGTTTTTTTTTTGTAACACAAAGTTATGAATTCATCTGGGATGATAATAACATAAGAGAAGCAAGTAACTCAAGCAAAAGGAAGTGGTGATTTTCACATATATTTCTAATTTTACTTTAATATCTATAAACTATCTTCTCCAAAACAATGAGTTCCATTAAAGATTGCGGAAAACAAACTGTAAAAAAACCAAAAAAACAAAAAACAAAATAGAAACAACCAAAAACAAAGCCACACATGTCATATTAAAAGCAAGCAAAGAGAAGAAAAATACGGCTATCCAAACAATGATTTGATGAACAGCATATCTACTGACAGTCAGAAGATCTTTGGGTTGGCATTTTTTAAATAAAAAAACCCATATTTTCTCATTAGCAGGAATGTTGGCAAGTATCTTTTTACATGCTTTAAATTGTCCCATGCAGGTTTTTAAGAACAAAGTAGATAGATAGAAGAGAAATCAGCCAACTATGCACCAACATGCTAAAAAAATGACATTCACACATGAGAAACAAAACTATTCTATTTCTAAAGATCATAATTAGACCACTGGGAGAAACAAACAAACAAACATTAAAGAAAGAGGCATGTTCAAAGCACTGAAGCAATCACTATACAAAAAAAGACACAAGACTGAAAGCCTGTATTCAGTATATCCTGGGAGAAGATGAATCTCTGTGCCATATTTTTAATGAGAAGAAAAGGAAAATGAGCTACAACACACAGCTATCAGCACAGAAGTGGCTGAAGGTTCTCAATGTGTTGTCTGGGTTTCAGTCTTGTTTAATATACACAAGGGCATCTACCTTGCAAATCAGCTTTCATCAATGCAACTTTGTCAGCAAAATAAAAAAAGCAAAATATATTAAATGTTAGTAAGCAAATATTGAAATGGCAGCAAACACAGAGAAATTGTTCACAGGAAAAAAAGTGCATGCTGTTCTCAAAGTAGAAAAGAAATTCCAAGTAATGCAAATAAATTAATGCTAATAGACATAAATATTCAGGCAAGCCAAAATGAGAATGCAATAATTTGCCAGCATTTACTACAAATATAATGGTTAATTGAGCTGATGGCATGTAATGAAGGAAAATTAAAATCATTTCTTTTCATAGGATAAATGTGAACACATTAGCAAAAGGAAATGGATGGTTTAATCCTGAATAGCCATTTGTTATGTTCAGATATAAGGAGTTCAACCGTTAACACATTATCCTTTGCTATCCCAATTCTCTAGAGGAATTGAAGAACCTGTAGATGCCCAAATGCCACAGAATTGTCTTGGCGCTTACTAGCTCCCTTGCCACCTAATTAGAATATACAGATAAGCCAAAAATATTGGTATTCTTCCTACCTTTTCCTTAAAAATATGAATATGTCCTGAGGTAACTGACATAAGTATATGACATCCACCATTTTTATTCAGTAATCCATAGAGAAGACACTTAACGTATGTATGGCTTAACATATTCTTGTAAATAGTTAAGCGAATGAAAAAAAACAACCAAAAAAAGGTTGAAGATTGGTAGGTAAATGAATGCTCTTCACTGTCCATAGGCATTATGATAGTCATTTTGTGACTCTCAGCAGCTCTTTCCTAAAAAACAATTAGTCTCAAAATTCCATATATGTGTACATGACCAAAAGAGTTAAAATCACTGGATTCAAATGTATATTAAGAACTACACCGTATAATTCAGTTCACATCCTACATGGATCAGTTAAAGACCTAGTAGCTGTATTTTTACAGCATGTTAAGCTTTGTTTTTAATCTTCTTTGTTTTGCAACTTAGCGTCTTATGTGAATGCAGCCCAGGAAAAGGGTAAATTTAGCAGAAATGGAGCAGCTTTGATAAGCAGTTAATTGAACATACTCTTCCATGTTATGCAAAATATTTTGTTGGCTTTCCTTTCTCCCAAGGATCAGAAAAAGACTGGTGTGGCCTCATGTGGCAACTAACACATGTCATTAAAAGGGACATACTTTCATTTTCATCTGAAGTCAAGAGGAAGGGCTGGAATCTACAAGCAAAGCTCTAAACTAGGGGTGGAATTCAACCAGAGTTACTACCGGTTCGATGATTATGTTTTGGGTCCGCCTGCCCAACGTGCGCTGTGCATGCATATAAATTAACCTTTGGCTGTGCCACCCGGAGAGCTGAAAAGTGCTGCACGCAGGTGTGTAGCATTTGAAAAGCCTCTTTTCCCCTGTTTTTTCAATCTCAGCTGTGCCGCACAAAACAGCTGAAGTTGAAAAAGCAGGAAATAAAGGACAGGTAAGAGCCCAGGCAGGCGGGTGGACCAAATAGCAGCAAACAGAGAACCAGTTCTGTGTCTGCTACTCTTCAAAGCTACCAGCTTTATAAAACCGGGCAGAACCGGTAGCATCCCACCCCTGCTTTAAACCCTTTTCATATGATACATGTAAAAACTGGCAGAGCTTTTTTCATGCAGGTGCTTTTTTGACTTTTTGGAATCCAGCAAATATCTCACAATTATCTGGTTTATATATTGTAGTTCATAATTAACTTTATTTGAGGTGGAAAAGTCTTTTGATTCATAAAACATGGCTGATATCTGTAGTTTGGTGAACATAGCATGATGAAGCAAACTGTATAAGGAGGAACGTATGTTGGATATTTTTACTTCCATGAATCATTTGTAAAAATACAAGTAGCCCTCGACTTATTAACAGTTCCTTGGTGAACATTCAAAGTTACAATGGCACTGAAAAAAAGTGACTTCTGACCATTTTTATATTTACAACCATTACAACATCCCCATGATCATGTGATCAAAATTCAGAGGCTGGCAACTGACTCATATTCATGACAGTTCTTGTGTCATTGCCTCATGTGGTCACCTTTTGCAGCCTTCTGACAAGCAATATCAATGAGGAAGCCAGATTCATTTAACAACTGTATTACTAACTTAACAACTGCAGTGATTCACTTAACTACTGTGGCAAAAGAAGTCATAAAATGGGGCAAAACTTACTTAACAAATGTTTCACTTAGCAACATAAATTTTGGGCTCAGTTGTGGTCATAAGTCAAGGACTACCTGTAATAAAGGTAGGATACAAATGAATAAAATAAATTAAAATAAATATTGGAAATGTGTGATGAGTTGTAGATTTATTTTGAATGTGTCTTGGATGAAGTCAAAGAAAAAAAGAATATTCTTTACCACTGCAAGGAATTACATACAGCTGTAAATGTCTGGCTTTTTTGAAAAGTGGGTGAAGGAAATGGAAGTAAAAGGTCAAACCATTTCAGAATAGGCTGAAAGAGGAAATCTTAATAAATTGAGATATACACAAAACACAATAAATTGTGGGATAGTTTTGTGAGATCCCCATCAGGTTTTTCAAAAGCTACTAAGGCCTGAGTGAAGCAGGTGTGGCAGAAGACTGAAGAATAAGAAGAGTTTGGATATCAACTGAAAAGCTCAAATAGGTACAAAGTCTGAAGCAGGAATCTGCATATTGGGTTGGGGTTTTTTAATTTTTGTTTTTGTTTATCTAGAAAAGGAAATCTGTGTGAAAAATGGCAAATAAGGGCATTAGGATCTGGGTGGCATGGGAGCTGCAGTTACAAATAGTTTTCTATCAGATGATCCCTTTTTAATACTAGAACCTAGATCGAAGTACAATAGAGCTACTAATTTAGCTGGACCCTTTCACTTAGTGACCATAACACTAACCACTGTTAATAATCCAGTCATATAATGCTGTCCTCAGCTGACATCAATATTAAACCCATTTTCATTGTTTTATAACACAGACCTAAGTATAGGTTGAATGTATTCAGGGCTAATGTTAGACTCTGACTGCATCCATTCAGATTATTTTCAGCCTTTCCGTTTGATTCTGTAAATAAGCTTGATTATATAAATTACTTGGCAGTTAAGGTGATTCTTAAGAATTTGGGTGCTACATAATTAAATGATTATTTTAATACCAAGATCTAATCACTAACAGAATGTATCACCATCTGCCCTCTTTCTCACTTACACTGGAATCTGTTATTTGCAAGCTTTACAAAATAAAGTGAAATTATCTTTAGGTGTATAGAAATTATGTATTCATATGTTGAGTTACACTTTAGTTTTTTGACATTAATTATCAAATTAAAATTAGAATTCAAGTCATAAGGATTTAGAAATTCAAACAAAAAATAATACTATGTGGACAATTAAATAATATGAATGAACATGTAAGTAGTAAAAAGTTGAATGGACAAATTTGGGGTTTTGACTCTTCATATCAAATCAATCAGCAGATCTTTACTGTATGCAGGGGAAAAAAATAAATCTCTTCAACTCAAAACATCTACAAATTTTTTGCTGCAGGCAGGTGGCTTTCTGGGTTGCAACAGGAATATTTATATTTTATTTTTTTATTTATTTGATTTGTCAATTGCTTATAAGATAATAGGTATAAACATAGTTATGAATACATGAAAAATAAATAAGAAACAATAAGAAAAATAAAAACAAATAATAGGACAGGGACAGTAGGCATGTTGGTGTGCTTATGCACACCCTCTGCAGACCTATTTTGAATCTTGGAATGTCTACAGTAGAAGAATGGTGCTTTTAAAAAAAAAACAAAATCACAACACCTGTGAAATATTTCATTGAAGCCTCATCCATTTTTACATCTGTGCTAAGAAGGGTTTCCTTTGTGCAGTCATGAATTCCATCTTGAGTGTTTCCCCCTTGGATGCCTTTGATGAAATTTCCTTCTTTAGCTGCCATATTGGCCTATGAATTGTTTGAAACAATTGTTTGTTTCTAAACAAACATATATTGGTCATAAAATAACCATCTGGGCACATTTTGCAATTGGGCCTGTAGGAGGCTCCTGTTTTTTGATAAAATCTGAAATGGGGAGAGTATATATTTTCAGTGATCACTGAAAAGAAAGTGAATTGAGGAAGCTCAATTAAAGGCCGCAGCTCTGCCAGAGAGAGAGAAGGCAGAAGATTTTGGTTCCTTATTCACACAGATGAATAGAATAAAATTCATCTTTAAAAACTGAGAGATTAGTTATGGATTGCACCAAGTTTCTTTCTCTGAAATTATTTTTGTTTCTATCCAATAATCCCTCTTTACGATTAAAGAAAACAGTCTTAGCTTAATATTTACCAAATCCAAAAGCATAGTTCTAAAATATTATTTCAGACCTCCTCCATGACCTTGTCTGCTGGGACCAAGGATATAAAGACCTAATATAATTCTAGCCTACGCAGAATATAATCATGAAGCAATACCTGAGGAAATCTTTGGTATAATGACTTATTTATTAATTGGATATGCCTTTGAAATCAAAGGGAAATGATATATGTCATAATATGTTCTGCAAAGAACTAATGCTAAATACATCTAGGTAGATAAATGCAGTAAGAAAATTTAATTAGGCACATTTAAAACTAACTATAAAAGAAAGTTGCTTTAAGATAACTTCTTCTCTTGGTGATGAAACTATCATCTGTATTATCTTCTTGATAGCAGTATAGATATGGCTACCTCCTGGAGGCTTATGCAATTTCCCTCCCTGGGCTTCAAACTCTGATATTTCTGAGTGATCTCCCATCCATCTACTAATCAGATGTTTAGCATTTTGAGATCAGCTAGCTTTTGTCACCTAACTGGAGAACATAGCACAGCATCTAAATAAAATCCATATAATATGGAAGGATAATTCACTGCTTTTTGTCCCTTCAATTTCTATATCTGAAAATTCTTGTTCTACAAATAGAATGATTAGTCATTTCTAATTAATTGGTTAAGTCAAGTGACTGTTTTCTTATCTCACATTACAGATAAATATGCACAAACTATTTGGTGGCCCTTCATTGCTAAGTTTTCAAATTATATCAAATATATGCCCATGAAAAATGTGTGGAAAATTACCAGTTGGTGTGATACAGATGAATAACTGCAAGATGGATATAATTACTAAGCTGAGCAATTGAAGATGGTTTCCACTGGAAAACATTTTGTGCAATGAAGAAGAAATTAAGCTAAGCTTAGACCTGATCTGCAAGAGAGTCATCAGCATTATTCTGCACATCCCACATATCAAATTACAATATGAATCAGGGGCAATCAAAATCCCCAAAGTCAAATCTGGATAAGACTGTCAGATAATGTTTTTTTTCTGGAACCTTCAGTCAGATACAAAATATCTCTCAAGTAATATGCTCCCTTATATTTGGAGAAGCATTTATTTTGATCTAAAGTCTTCCATTCTATTCCACATAAGGAAATTTATCAGGGTCCTCATTGTATCAGGAGAGGAACCAGTAAAATGGACAGCAAATATATCTGTCAGCCTTTTTTCTGCCATCTCAACTGATACAAAACACTTTAACTTGGCTGTCTGGAAGAGTCCCCAGGGTCAGACTCTCTATAGAACCCTAACATCTTTTTTTCACTTAATGTGTCTTAGAAATGTGCATGTTAATTAAATTAGTTAATTTATACTCTAACTACTATCTAGGTACTGCAATGCTCTAACTAGTATCTATGCACTGTGATTATATAAAATGCTGCATGGGAGCTAATTAGTACAACAATTAATTAAGATACTGCACAAACAAAACAAAGACAAGCCAATCAACTAATTCATGGCAAAGAGCAGAATTGACCAATTGTGTTCTGATAGATAACTTAATGTTCTCAAGTTTGAACTGAGTTTTGTGCCATTGGAGTGCATTTCTCAACCAATATCATCCACTTTCATTAATTATGTGAACTATCTAATTCAGCAACTGTAGCAAAGAACAAATTGATAAGATAGGAAACTGGCAGGATCCAAATACAAATAACATAGCAGAAAAGATGCTATAGCTCCCCTATTATGAAATTAAATTTAGAAACATTTTGGTTACACTGTAAGAGTTTAAGGCAAGTCTATGAAATGATCACACCATACCTTCACATCCTCTTTCGATCTGTCCATTGCAAAACAGAGCATCTGAAATCAAATCTGGAAGACGCCCATTGAGATCCACAGAGGCAAGGCAGCCTTGAAATCCTTCTTTGGCATGGACCAATTTTGGCAAGGATTTATAAGTTTCTTTTGCTACTCCTCCAATATATAGATCACCTATGAAGTCAAACAAAAGGCTTAGATGAATTTTTTTAAAAATCTTATTCATTGATAAATTGAACAAGCTGCACAAAAACATTTTCTTAATTTTTATAATAAAATAAAAAGCCAAATAAATAAATCAATAAAGAAATAAATAATAATATTTCATTACCCAAACTAGGTAACATCATCAGTGCTGAAGATGTTACCTAGTTTGACTAGTGAAACATCTGCAAAGAAAACAGATAAGCTCAGAGGGTACCAAAGAACCAATAAATAAGAATATAAAACAAACCAAGAAAAGTAAATGTCAGTTGCTCATGAAAAAAGTACAGCCTCTCTCTAGCACATAAATACAGGTAGTCCTCAACTTATGACCACAACCAAGCCCAAAATTTCTGTTGCTAAGTGAGACATTTGTTAAGTGAGATTTGGCCCATTTTATAACTTTTGACACATTTATTAAGTGGATCACTGGAGTTGTTATATTAGTAACATGGTTATTAAGTGGATCTGGCTTCCCCACTGACTTTGCTTGTCAGAAGGTCAGAAAAGGAGATCACTTACTTGTCCCTGAGACACTGCAATTGTCATAAATATGAACCAGTTGCCAAGTGTCTGAATTGTGATCATGTGACTTTGGGAATGATGCAGTGGTCCTAAGTGAGAAAAATGATTATGCCACTGTTTTCAGTGTCATTGTAAATTTGAACAGTCACTAAATAAACTATTGTAAGTTGAGGACTATCTGTAGTAGGCCAACCAGTTTTTTTTCACAGTGTCCATGAATTATATTATTTCCAAGACCATCTAGCTAGCTCAAATGTGGCCAGATGAATCCTTTGTCAATAATACAATAACAAATATATAACAAAAAGAAGAAAGAACTATTAATGAGGAGATTCCTCCCAAACCAATATAAACCTCTTACTTCCAAAAATGTATTTAATGCTCAAATTTCCACTAATATCTAACTACTTTGGTCTAGCTTGTGTAGTACAAGTGAATTATACATCATTTTAAAGTCTTACTATAATACACAATTATTATATGATCAATATTTAGTTATTAGAAATCAGTGCCACAATCAATCCTGAACTGTTTGGTTCCCATTAAACACGACAAGTGAAGAAAGTCAGATGAGCACAAAAATGTTATTAAGTTGGCAAGGCAAAAATGACTGCAATAGACATCCTATGGATTTCTAGGAATGGATACAGCTAATGATTGACTTGATCTCCAAAGTCTGCTCTCTTGCTTTGAGATAACCTTGCCAATTATGTCTGAATGTTTTCTACTGTATTCAGAAAAATATGGCTTCAAACAGGAATCTTTTTTAGCCTCCCCAGTTATGTGAATAATATCTATATTTTAGTATAATATATAATAATATTAATAGGTATTCATAGTGAATGACAAGTGGGCAAGTAATGGTATGTTCAGGTTGCTCACTCCATCCTTATATTTTTGCAATGCAACATCACAGCACTGGTAGGAAAGAGCAGAGCTTGCACCATAATGTCACAACACATGTTTCAGCATTACAGAGTTATGATTAGGAACAGACACTTAGGTGTAGAATGTTTGTTGCTGAAGAAACACTGGGAATTGTTCTAGAGAACACCATGTGGGGAAAGACACAAGAAGAAGATGAATTTGTCCTTGGCTATCATAGTCCCTTGAAACTGAAAGGAATATTTGCATGCTTATCCTTTTCATCTGCTTGGCAAGCCTGGATTCTGTCTCTTAGCATGTGGCATCACATTTGGAGGTGCCCGAGAATATGGAAGAAGCATTCCTTATATTTCAGAAAAGGATAATTTGTCTTCTCTGGGTTAAATATATTCCATTACACATTAAATGTACGTTCCAAAATACAGAATGTTTTAGTGATATCCAACATTAGCTTCCCCTCTTGACTGACAGTGCTTTTTAATATTACAAGATTATATGTGGTTATATACCTATCCACCATGATTTGATTTAATTTAAAACATTAAAATATTTAAAATATTTATATAGTTACCCACCTTGTACCTAACTCTGGATGGCTCGCAGCCAAGAGATAAAACCATGTCTATGTATGATAAAAGTATTAAAATGAAGGATATTAAATATATTAAGCATCAAAATTATTTTTAAAAAACCTGGCACCATAATTAAACTTAGCTCACTCACTCCTAGTGCTTGGGGGAAAAGCCAGCTTTTGCGTGCTTTTTGGAATGCTAAAAGATTAGGGCCTGCCGAATTTCAGGGGAGTGTTTTACAGGGGAGAGGCTACAATGGAAAAGGCACATTTCATATTCCCATAAAATGGCAACATTTAAGAGAGCATGCCCATGCTATCAATCTGTTGAGTAACTTATACAAGGAAAGGGAACAAGATGAATCAGGTGCCTATAATGGTCCATTTTTTTGGTATATGCAATGAAAAGAAGGAAAGTTGTAGCAAATTTTTTTGCCTCTGATTTGACAGCCAGTTAAAATTCAGACTGAAGGTTAAACTTTTTTTTTCAATTAACTGGTTCTACTTGACTTCTACTCCCTTGATGGGTTTATGCAATTCCATAGCCTTTTTGAGGTTCTTCTCTTGCTACCCTGACCTTTTACTTAGATCTTCAGTTCCACTAGCTGCTCTCTGGGCCTCCACTGCTATTGAGTGGGAGACTCTTATCAGAAACACTGCTAACTAAAATTCCCATACCTTATTGCCTAGAAGCTAAAGTAACCAAATATTGTTGGAATACGTGTGTAGGCATTATAACTTTTCCTAGGGGGGAAAAATGTTAAAATAAAGTATATTATAATGTAATGCTTGTCTTCACCTCTGTGACACCTATAGCAGAAACATTATTTTCAACTAGAACATCCTTTTGTTGTTTTCATTTTTTCCCCATTCCCATTTCTCTTCTTTGTTTTTCTGAACAGCTCAGGAAGGGCTCATGATATTATTGAACCTTTCTTTCAGTCTCTTAGTATAAGTTAACATATACATGGCCAGACAGCTAATCCTTAGCATCCATCAAGAAAATAAAAATGCATACATTGTCATCTTTCCCCAGGGGAAGCTATGAAACCAGTGAAGTTGTCATACACCTTATCCAGGAGACTGGCAGGAAATAATTCTGCTACATTATAGAGTACCTAACAGTATATTATTTATTTATTTATTATATTTCCATCTACCTATCTCACAGTTCAAAGGATACTGAGCAGCTTTGATTATACCCACTAGAAAGAGACAATGATAGGCATTTACCCTGAGAAAAGTAAAAAAAAATTATGAAAAATATATTTTTTCAACATTGCCATCTTGACTACATGTTAATTTACCAATAGTATATTTAAGTATATTTATGACTCATCCTACTATGGAAAATTAGGCATTCTACAATTATGCTGCAGCTCCCAGAAGCTCTTCTCAAGGCTTTCAGCAATCCAATAGGGAGCAAAGAGATTGGGCATTGTCATGTGATCTTATTCAGTGTCATAAAGGGCCACCTATTACAAGAAATCTCTTAAGATCTTCATTTTTCTCCTCATAGTGGGAAAACTGCCAAAATTTATCAGAAATTTATCAAAATTTGCAGGGGAACATTGAAATGCCATGACATTTTTGGTTCTGACTGATTTCCTATAAGACAAGGGTCTCCAACTCTGGCAAGTTTAAGACACATGGACTTCAACTCTCTGAATTCTATACCCAGAATTCTAGAATTTGAAATCCACAAGTCCTAAAGTTTGGGAATCATTACTGTAATATCCTCTGGAGATTATAATCTCACAGGAGTTTGGTGATGTTATATTTTAATATTATTATTCTTCAAATTTTAATTTGGGTGGAAAGCTAATGTTCTAACATATTATTTTCACAATCTGGGGAAAATATATTTATTTATATTTTTACTTCACTTTAATCTGGAGAATGTAGGCACAGTAGATTTTCTGCATTCTTGTACGCAAGCTTTCCAATCACAGAAAAAATTCCCAATCATATTCATTAGGTGAATGAGCCTTAATATTTGAAATTGTACATTTCATGATGTATTTTAATCTTTTTTCAATAAACTAAGCATTTACAAAAAATGGTGCCAACACGGCAAGAGAATAAGATTATATGTATATGTGGATATTTATAAATTGTCTGTAGCATTACTGCTATATGTATAACATTATTAAATTAATTTAGGATAGGACTAAGATAAGGATAGGACTTCTGATGCATTACAATATCCTTGTTTAACTATCTTTTGAATCATGTTCTTGACTTTCTCATATTTTGTCAATTAAATGATCTACAAGCCGTAAAAAATAGAGATAACTAGAGATACAGATTTGTTTTCATGCAAAACTAGGTTCCAGAATATTAGTGAGTTTCTGACTCTAATGTTTTGTTAGTAAATTGAAATAAAAGGCATCCTATTGACAGAAATTAAGCAGATTTAAAAAATAGAGGACTGTGTTTGTCCAACAGACTGTGCAAAGAAGTTGCTGAAGCATGCTAAATGGTGAGGGGGGAAAAGATAAGATAATTACCATGCATGTGGCAACCCATTTGTTGTGAATTGATGTAGATATGGATGTATTCCTATGTTTGAATATTTACACAGCAGGGAAGGGACAAGATGTCAGTACACATTGACTTAAAATTATTAGTGTGGATGTTTTTTATAGAATTAGGAATTTGTTCCATAACTTTGGTCGCAACCCAATTTGGTCATGACCTGAACCTAATTTTGGAAATTTGGTGCTTACCAACAACAACAACAAAAAGGCACAGAAGGAAAAATCGGCTACAAAAAAAACCTGATTTTTTTTGGTCGGAACCTGATTTGGTTGTGCTCAGAAGTGTTCATGACAAAAGGTTCTACTGTATCTCAGTAACGTCTGGCAGTTAAAATCTATCATAGAAATCCAGTGATAATAATTAATAAAATGTACCAGAGCAAGGCTGGAATACTTGCAGCTGATCATTTCAGTTTGAGGTTTAGGGTGTTGTTTCCATTTTGCATCAC